TGACAACAATTATTCAAAATTATTTAAACATGTGAAACAATTGTATGATTTATCTATTGAAATAATATATGATTGTCTGACCAAAACAAGAAAAAAGAAATAATATATGATACGCGTTCTTCGATCATTTATTTATACTTCTCTTGTTACTTATTGCCACTTGCATGCATATTATGGAAAAGTCTACGAGAGTAACATCAAAGACAGAGAATAATAATATTAGTTATTACTATAAAAAATAATAACCTGGTTCTCCAATGGCTTAAATATTTTTTAAAGTTTTTGTTAAATTAATTAATTGCTAGTTGCGATGGGTCGTCACATATACCTTCTGAAACTTGGGACGGTCGCTTAATAATGCACTTGAAAAATTTCCCTAACCAACTTTGTCGTCGTCTATAAATTAATCCACTGGATGGTAATAATCTTTCCCCTGTAATGTACCTCTACATACTATTCTTCTCTGGCATAAAATTACTAACATGGGCATAAGATGAATGGATTTGAATCTGATGAGTGGTCTAAGTTAATTTAGTTAATGAGCATCTCACATGTCATAATAATAATTATTTGATTTAGTCAAAACAGTTGTTAGGAATTTTGTCATATGATATTCATAAAGTACTAAATCCCATTATTTTTGGAGGGAATGACATGTGTAAGGAGTATCCTGATAATGAATATTGTTTTGAATTTTTTGGATGAAAATATATCGAATTTTGATTCAGTGATTATAGACACTAAGCGTTTGTACCATCTGAATCATTAAAATCTATATCAATGGTTTAAACAAACTCATTCATTTATTAATGTCAAGTAAGAAAGTATGAATTTAGAATTATTGATATGAATTTTAACGATTTTAATGATGCATATACTCAATGTTTGTACTAATTACAGTCACCGAATTCAGATCTAAATATATCTCAATAATTTTCAAGTATTACCAAAATCTAAGACTGAGATACTCATTAAATGAGTGTATTTGTCTAGATGATCAAATATTAATAATCACATTAGTGGATATATATATATATATATATCAATTATTTATATATTTGGCTGACTTCTAATTCTAGCTTAATTAATTGGATGTGAGTGCCGTGTGTGTGTATTTTATTTTATTGTATATTATGGCATCTAAGAATTAATGCATCACTACTTTCTATATAATTATGGAGCTAAGTTTTCGACTTCAAGTGCCACTATACGTAATGGAGCCTCTTTTGCTTTCAATTTGTGTCATCGTTTTCACTCTGGTTTCCCTATTTGTTTACAACGCAAAGTCCCATGGAAAATCCAAGAACCTTCCGCCTGGTAGTTTCGGGTGGCCCTTCATCGGAGAAACCTATGAGTTCATCTTCTCCAACCACGATAAGTTCATAAGTGACAGAATGCAAAACTACTCTTCCAAAATATTCAAAACCCATCTCTACGGCCAACCCACCGTCGTCCTCTGTGGTCCTTCCGGCCACAAATTCATCGCTGCTAATGAAGGAAAGCTCATGACCGCATGGCGCCCAACCGCCACCCGAAAGCTCTTTCAAAGTAATTATATGTTTGTGTGTGTGTATTCTGCATATTCTGAAGATCAACTTCGTTATTTTTGTCTAAACATTGGTTAATTATTTGTCTCTCTCTCTCTATATATATATATATATGTCAACAGGTGCGATGCCGACAGGTGACTCCATCGTTTCACGCCAATCCGAGATCCATTTGGTTCGTGCGCCTGTGTTCATCACTCAAGAAGCTCTGGTGGCTTATGCTTCGGTCATGGATGGTATGACGAAGCATCACTTTGAGACGCACTGGTTCGGGAAATCACAGGTTGAGGTTTTTAGCCTTCTCGAGCTTCTCACAGTGGGCATAGCCACAAGACTCTTCATGGGCCTCCAAGATCTTGATTGTGTGGCTAAGATGGCCAAGTGGTTCGGCCACATCGCTCAAGGCCTCCACGTTCTCCCGTATGAGATTCCTGGTAATTAGTTCTTCATCCGTATCAATTTATAAGATATTTTTGTGATAAAATTACATGTGATCAAGTTGTATAAATGTGGGTGGTCTTTAACTTAATAACTAATATAAAATAAAGGAGAGTGGTTTATAAACTTAACTTTAAAATTTTGAGTTCAGATGGGTTCTCTTTCTATTATTCTTCGTCTATTTGTTTGCTCTCCACTTCCAGTAGTCTCTCCTCTTTTCATAGCACACGTATCAACAAAAGTTCTTATATTTTATGACACCAAATCACCAATTCAACAATGTCCTGTAAATGGGATGGAAGGAGTCCAATTGATCATCAGCAGTAACCAAGTCATACGTGTTCATACCATTGAAAATTGAGTCAACTTAGCATTTACACTATTAACGAGGTGTTCTGATCATGTTTTGGCTATGATTTTAACAATTAACGCTTAAACCAATTATTTATATCATATCATGTCATTGTTGTAATATAATTACAGGGACTACGTTTGGTCGGGCTATGAAGGGGAAGAGAGCTGTGATGAATGAGATTATGAAGTTGATAAATGAGAAGAGAGAGAGACTGGCCAAAGGTGAGATGCCAACCGATATATTGTCGTACATGATGGTCAGTGCAGATCCGAGCGGAAAGATCAGATGAGATGAAGAAGTTGCTGATACAGTTATGGGATTGACTACAGCAGCTTTTAACTCTCCATGCATCGCTTTGACGTTCGCCATGAAATACTTGGCAGAAAATCCCCAAGTTTACCAAAGGATCAGAGATGGTACGTACGTGGGGTGTGTGCGTGTGTATAAAATCTGTTTGTGATTCCTTTTTCTCGGTTGTAATTGATGTCTGATTAAAAGCAGAGCAAATGGAGATTGCAGCATCTAAAGAGCCTGGAGAGACTCTGAGCCTGAACGACATACAGAGGATGAAGTATTCATGGAATGTGTTGTTGGAAGTGATGAGAGTGATCCCTCCTCTTCAGGGAACCTTCCGAGAGGCCATGTCTGACTTTACATATGACGGCTACACTGTTCCTAAAGGCTGGAAGGTAGGGTCCAATATTATATTATCATGAAACCAGACTTCATTGAACAAATCCATGCCCCCCCCCCCCCCTTTTTTTTTCCGTCCGACAAGCTAACATGCATGTTTTTAGATCGTGGGATATAAGCAGACTTGTCTTGATGTGACATGTTTCCATAGGATGGATTTAACCTTAGTAAGATATATGGTTTCTCTTTTCTTGAAAGTAACACTCTCAGTGTCACAATTTATAAGAGCACATCTGAATAGATTTGACATTTCAAAATACAGAATAATATAATAAAAATAAGATTTCATTAATTATATTTTTTTAATATTAATCTTCTCATTACATTGCCTTCTCAATTTTTTTTACAAATGAGATATTAAATGAATGACATTTTTTTAGGTTTATATTTTTTTAAAAAAATAAGGTTGTAAAATATATTTAAAGAGTTTTATTGGTATATATGATTTTATCTAAAAATGTATTATATATTACTCCCTCTGTTTCAAATTATAAAATATTTTTTCTCAGTTTACCTTGGTTCAAAAAAAAAGACACTTAGTAGGTTTTGAAATTTTTTCTTGTTTAACCCTTATACTTATTAACTTGGTTTGTTATGTAGCCTGATTGATATTTATTATATTTTTCTTACTCTTTATGATAGGCAAAACTTTATTAGTCTGCAAGGAGGATTATGTTTTCTCATGTTATCGTATTTCATTAAAAAAATATTATTCCTCTCATTTAATTTATTATTGACTATTTGGAGAAAAGGATAGAAAGAAAAACTCATGATACTTATAATTGAAAGTATGGATTTTATTGGTATTTGAATTATAATTAAAAATGTCTTATATTTTGAACTAAAAGAAGTAGAATAGAGGTAGAATAAGTTAATTTCAACTAATTCATGCATATCAGAAAGTGTTGTTAAGACATTAAAGTTGTCATAAAATTGAAATAATTCTTAATACCACACTATTAGTAATTACATTACGAAAACCCCATATAATATCTCCTTCCTTACGCACATAATACGTTTGGTTTGTGGGTGAGGCAGGTGTATTGGACGGTGAGCTCGATCAACAAAGACCCAAAAATATTTACAGAACCAGACAAGTTTGATCCAACAAGGTTTGAGGGTGAGATTCCACCATTCTTGAATATGCCATTTGGAGGTGGTCCAAGAATTTGCCCTGGAAAAGATTTTGCGAAGCTTCAAATGCTCATTTATCTTCATTACGTCGTCACCTTCTTCAAATGGCAACTCATCAATCTCAATCCCAAGGTTCTTGCAGCCATGAACGCCTTACCACTCGATGGAGTTTGGGTGCGTCTTCAGCGCTGTGCTCAATAGACGAAGCAGTCCACGAAGCGGCCTCCTTTATACATTAAAAACAAAAAAGATGAAGCAGCCACGGACACATCCATCATATATATGTGTCATGTGTGTGTACGTATATATATAATCTATACAAAAAATTATACTAATACAAGAATAATAAAAAAAGAAAAAAAAAGGGATAAGAGAGGACATGCATGAGTTGTGGAGATATTGTAGAGCTTGCAGAAATATTTGAATAAATCGTGTCGATATCTCCCAGTTAAAATCGTAGCTAGGTTAAGATATATTGTGTTCTGTCGTGTTATGGACAAGCATCATGGCATCGGGCTTAATTGTTTACATACATACATACATACATACATATATATATATATATATATATTAATAATTGTTTTATGGTGGCATCGCGTACGCTTTAATTTGTCATTGCACAATTGAGTATTGACTTTGCTTTAATAACAGTTTTGACTTTCAATAACAAATAGGGAGAGGATCACATTTAAGGATATGTGAAGAATATTATTTGCAGAAAAGGACAAATATAATAATAAGTAATCATTCAAAAAAAAACAATTATATTCTTATTTAACAACAATCTATTTCAGTTGGGAAAAAAAAAACAACAATCTATTTCATATTGATTCTTCACAAATTCCTTGATATGATTCTCCCCAATAAATATCTGTGCATCCATTTCACCAATTTATTCCCTTTTTTTAAGTTTCCGAAACTGTTATTAATTTTATGATTTTAACATTACAGATCTGAATCATGTGTCTTTAATTAATTCCATATAGAATTTCAGTGGTGCTTTTAATCCATTCAAGAAACTACTAGTAATGAGTGGAGTCTTAAAAAGTTTAACATATAATGAATTAAAATATTTTTTCTCATTATTGAATTGTAATATATAATATGAATCATGCCCAGTGATCATTGATCTTTGGATTTAACAGAGTTCCAGCTAGGAAAGAAATGAAAAAAAAAAATACTTATTTTCTAGTCAATACGCAAGTCAACCAAGCTACAATAACTTATGAATTTCCTATTACTATATATAATTAATAAAGCTCATTAATTCTTACACTTTAGGAGAACAAAGAGCATAACTAGTTTTAACTTCTTCGGATTCATGATATCTGGAAATTCTATTACTTTCTGAGTGAAGCGATCAAAAAGCTCATCAACAATTCCACGTCCGAAGTGCTGCTCAATCAGATCTCCCAAGAAAGCTCGTAACATGGAGACAAAGTTGGAGGCTTTTGGGGTTGAATAAAATTCTTCAACTTTCAGTGTCTCAATCCGCTCAATACTGAGACTCTCATTCTTCTCCAGGATTTCCTTCAGATTCTTTGCAGGTGAATAAAAGAGAGGCAAATTGAGTGAGTCAATCTTTTTCTTCACCCACTCGTCCCTGCATCATCATCCATGTGAGCCAGATTTTAGTTCTCTCTTTTCTTTTCTTATTTATAAATCATCTCCAACATATTTTAATAAATTTTTATCTTTGACTTTATTAAATATACATACTTTTAACAACGTATTTTCTTTCATATTTAATGAAAGTAATATGGGAAATTTCTGATAAAAGTGCATGACATGAAGATTAGAGAAGTAATTCAGACGGTTAAAGGCTTCTCAATTACCACTCTAGCCATGTCCATGAGAGTAGATCCAAGAAGCTCATAAGCCCTAGAAGGATGTATATCAGATTCGAGAATCACATCAGGCACAGTAGCGATCTGAAGCGCCATTAGCCCATTGCTCACAAGCTCTTGCGCTCTAGCATGCAAAAAATTCTCCAAGTCAGCTCTGTACTGTGCTAAATACGCATCTTCTACTTCCTTAGGAGCATTTACGTGATGACTCCTTCCTTTGTTAAATGCACTGCAGCTTCTATCTGCAATCTCTTTAGGAACCCTAGAAAGCCAATGAAGTGTTGAAGATGAGTGGACAAAATGGAGAGTTTTCTTTGGGAATAAGCGTCCAAGGAAAGAGCCAGGAACCCCAGAAGCGAAGTAGTTTCTATTTGGAGGAAGCTGCTTGAAGAATGTGTTGAAGTTATTTGAAACTTGGTCGTTGAAGAAGACATGGAATTCTGGGATTTGATGAGCAGAAAGCTTCTGAGTTTTGTAATAATATTATTTTTCTATCAATTCTGTTATGGTTTGCATTGCAACAATGGCATTAGGCCCAGTGGAGCAGCCAAGGTCAGCAATCCGAATGACGTTTGTAGGTCCAATGTATGTCATGGGATCAAAGTTCTTGACTATTGCTTCCTCAATCAGTTTTTTGTTAGCTTCAAAAACTTCTCCCTGTAGAAAAAAGACACGCAATATAATTAAATGATAAGTTTGAAATCACATCGCACAATCATACATATGTGTGTGTGCGTGCGCGCATGTCACTGTATTAAAATGTGAAGAAATTACCAGTATGCAGCAGAAGCTTAGTTTATTGAGAAGAAGAGGCAATGGCATATGAATTTGATGTGCCATTAATTAACATCGTATATAAGTTAAAAGTACAAGTTTAATACCCGAAAGGAAGAGTTTTGAGCGTAGCTGTGAGGACCCTCTCCTCCTGTCATTGCAAATGATGATTGATTCTCCATATATATTAGCTATTAGATGGTGTCTTATCTACCTGCATGATTTTTCTTCAGTGGTAAGTTATTTTGTGAACCAAGAATAATAATACCGCAGAACTATGACAAAGAGAGAGAATATACCATACGAGTTTATTAATTCTGTATAGGAAAACACAGTTTCCTAAATGAAAACAAGCTGTAGAACTTGAGCTTTCTGGTTAATGCAAGAAGCCGATGCTGATGCATTTATATGCATATAGGAGTGTGTCTGTGTGTGTGTGTGTATGGTGTTCAAGGATATCGTTGTTGGGTGAGTCAAAATTCAAAACATGGCTCCCAAGCTAGGCGGGTGAATTGAATTTTGTTAATTATTTTACTTTTCAAAAAACTTTACGGTTTTGTGGAGTTTACTGCTGCATGTTATGATAATCATCAATGATGTCAACACACTTCTGGCTTTGCTCATCAACGACGTCGCTTTATTATATTATTGGATGCTAGTGACCTTAAAATTTGGATTTAAGAGGAGAAGAGGAATAATATATAATTCATCTGGAGTTATCACTACTTCGCAGCCATGCTTCTAATAATAGATCCAAATTATTGTTTGAATTTTTTATCCTTGAGGAATTTTTGTTGACCAATATACTTGAGGAATTTTATTGTTATACATAAGAATACATATATATATATATATATTAACTAATTATTGATGATAGAAGTTAAAGTTGAATCAATTTTAATCAAGCAAATATTCTGAGAAATAAAATATCCTAAATTGAAAATTATTATTAAGAATATAATATATATATATATATATTATATCATAAATTCAATTTAAAAATAAAAATAATTATATATATGTAACTCCCATATTTGCAATTTAAAAATCAGAAGATGATGATGATGATGATGATGATAATTAAATATATATAATTTTCATTAAAAAAATTCATCATATCACTGCCCATTCAAATCATCAAATTTGTTTAAATAAAATCTGAATGGGCAATAAAAGAAAAATTTAACTTTGAGTTCTTACATTTTATTAAAATTTTATTGCTTTTAATTTCTATACTTTTATTATTTATTATTTTAAATCTTTTCAAGATCCCTACACTTCATTTATAAAGAGACTTAAAACAATAATAAATAAAAATATAAAAATTTAAAATATAAAAAATATAAAAATTAATAATAAAACACCAGCAAAGTGTGAAAATGAAAAGTTACATTTTTTTTACCGTAAAAGTTGTTAAGTGGAGACACGCTTGATCCAAGTCGAAAATCGGATACAAAGATGTCGTCATTGATGATCAAAAACAGCCGTCCTGTGACATCAGTGATTAGCATTACATGTTGTAAAAGTCAAGTGCTTTCGAACACTTTTCCAAACCACAATCGAGGCATCAAAGTTTTGAATATTTCATGGCCTTTTCATATATTTTTAACTTTATCTTTAAAAATATTAATAAAAAATTATTCTATAAATCAAATATATAAAAAAAATTTACGAAATCAAAAAATTATTTTAAAATCTATATTTTTATTAAAATATCAATTACATAGGTGTTAATTATTGCTCCTTTTAGCTGTTTATAACTAGCAAGGCAGCAATTACTATCAAGTAACAATTAACAAATTTTAATATAATAAATTGATAACTTTAACAAAATATTATATGGAAATTTAAAATAAATTTATGATTTTATAAAAAATTGTATTTAAATTTTGGCTTAAATTTTTTGGGTAAGATCGCCGCAGAGTTACTTTGTCGACAAGAAGTTTATGACTGTTCAAAAAGAAAAAGAAAAAGAAAAAAAAGAAGCAAGTTTATGATTGAACTCCGTATCTATCCATCTGACTATCTATATATTCAGAGAGTACTCTATTACCTTCCAACTCAACCAGAAAGCTCAGGTTTTCCAGAAACTCACTGGGGAAACTCCATTCCCACAGCTAGCCAATTCAGTGGTAGATTCTCTCTTATTAATTTCTTCATTAATTGAGGTAACTTGCCTCGTCAGCAGAGAGAGAGAGAGACAGAGAGAGAGAGATGGAGTATCGTTCTTTTGCAATGAATGGAGGAGAAGGTCCTCGCAGCTATGCTCAAAACTCTTCCTTTCAGGTTTGCTCATTAAACTCAACGTGTTCATCATGAGTTTACCAAAAACTGACTGCTGTACATATAAACAAGCCTTAATTTATTTCCTCTTCACATTGTTCTTCTTAGTATATATATAACCTGCTGTAATGCTGTTAGTTTTACTTTTTCTTTCTGGATATTAATTTGTGCTACTCACCAATTAATCCTGGAATATTCCACGAGCCGAACACAAGACGAAACTTTGTTATATATAAAAACAAATAATCTTGAAAAAGGATTTAATAATTAATTAAATGATGCAAAAAGTAAAAGCGATGAACCAGCTAGTGAGGCAAACGCCAGGGACCATGATTCACTTATCAGAATGATTTACTTTAATTCAATTAATTATCTTTTCTTTATTTATAGTGACAATTGTTACTAAAGTATTCTAATTACTTCTCAATATATTAGGGTATATTTAATTAAGGATAAATTTACTTTTTCTTATCCTATTCAGACCTTAAATAAATCATGAAGCCATGATCTACAAGCCACCACAGATCCTAAATTATCTCTAATTTAATTATTTATGTTTATCTCTCAAAGTCTAACTTAACTCTTCATCTCTTAATTCATTGAATAGCCCACAAGCAAATTATATAGTGAACGTTCCATATAAAAAAGTAATTAAAATAAGCAAGATAAATATAAATATAAATGAAAATATATTTTTCATAGATAAGAAATTAAGTTTGATAAGAAAAATAAATGAAAGAGTAAAATCTATCCTAATCAAGTTATAAAACAACTCACAGAGGTTAAATTAGAAATCTCAATTAAAAACATAAATAAAATCTAAAAAATAAGGTAAGAGAAAAAATTCTCAGTTTGAAAGATTTCTTCCAAACTTTATAATATACCTCTTAATCTTCAGATATGAAATTAAAATATTTGAGAGATTTTTAAAAGATTTATTTATAATTAATTCAGCCTCCGGAACCCAGGTAGATCATGCCTCTATTTTATATGATTTGCAATATCTGATTTAAATATATTTAATTATCAAATTGCGTCTCCTAGAGTTTAGGTTTGCGTGCAGTCGGGCACCGTTATGTTATGTCCACGCGCGGGTAAAAGTCGAGGCTCCTTGTCCGTTTTGTTTTTCACGCGCAGGTGAAGAATGAGAGCTTTAGTTGTCCACGCGCTGTTATGAATTGCGCAAAGGTTTCTGCGGACATTCGAATGCAAGGGGCACGATTCTTCTCGCTTTGGTTACATCCGCAAGCAGAGAAGCTCTTTGGTATTGTTGTTTGCTAACGGATGACTTCCTTTAATTTGGGCCATTTATATGTTATTTTCACTCCTTTTTCCTGAAAATACTGCAAAATGCTAAGTGAGGCCCTTTTATCTATATTTATCCTTTTTTTCAAGCATATTATTCAATGAATAAAAGGGTAGAAAATATATATAAATTTGGGTAAAATACCCCCTTATCAACGATGACACAATGACATGCATGTGTATATGTTCCCTTATGTCTTTCCCTAATCTTAAATTTATATTAACTTTGTCCTCTCTGTATGACACGCACATGAAGTATATATCCTCGCGAACTCAGTGATTGTTGTGTGTTTTCTGCAGAGAAGCGCGTTTGAAGCTCAAAAGAGGTTGATTGAAGAGGCAATAGCCAATAACTTTGATCCCATGACGATAACTACTTCTGGGTCTAAGAACCTCATTACTATTGCTGACTTAGGCTGCTCAACAGGTCCTAATACCTTCATAGCAATACATGCCATAATAGAAGCAATAAAAAACCTTTACCACACAAGTAACCTTCCTGCTGCTCATTATCAAACCCTAGAATTCCAAGTCTTCTTCAACGACCAAGTCTCGAGCGACTTCAACACACTCTTTAAGAACCTTCCTCCTAACCCTAATCGATCCTACTTTGCTTGTGGGGTTCCTGGCTCTTTCCGGGGACGCTTATTCCCAAAGCAATCTCTTCACTTTGTGTATTCTGCTTCAACACTTCACTGGCTCTCTAGGGTTCCCAAGGACATTATGGATCGAAGTTGCAGTGCTTGGAACAAGGGAAGGATTCATCATACGGATGCTCCGAAGGAAGTTGGAGAGGCGTATGAAGCTCAGTTTAAAGAAGATCTTGAGAGTTTTCTGAATGCAAGAGCAGAAGAGGTTGTCGGAAATGGACTTATGGCACTTCAGATACCTTCTGCACCAGATGTTGCTGCTGCTGATGATGATAAGGAAATACATCCTGCTAGAGTTTTTGAGCTTCTTGGATCTTCTCTCATGGACATGGCCAGAGTGGTAAGAATTCTTAAGGAACCTTAGCTTATAAAAGCAATGAACTTTGAGAATGACAATTCTCTCATTTTTTTAAAAAATACTGTTTTTGGAATTTCTTTTCAGAACATAATAAAAGAAAATTTTATTTGATAGGATACTGAAATTTTTAGTCCCCAAATTTACCTTAACTATCAATTTAATTGGTCTTTCAAATTTAATTTTTATCATTTTGGTCTTTTGCATTTTTCTTAACTTATCATGCTAGGTTTTTAAATTTTAAAATGCAAATTAACTCTTGAATCAATTTGATATGTAAAGTATATATATTGATCACTTGATACATATATGTAGTTAAATGAGAACAAATTAATTCTCGAATTAGTTTTTTTTTCCCCTGTCAATCTAGTCCCTTATGCTGTATTCAATTTTATGCAGGGAATTATGACAGAAGAAAAAGTTGACTCGTTTAATTTGCCCACCTTTTACTCACCTGTTAAGGGCATGAAGGAGATTCTTGAGAGAAATGAGCATTTCAGTGTTGAGAAAATGGAAGCACTGAATCTTAAGAACTTCTATGCAGTCCCAAATGTGTACACATTTGTTTCCCTTTACAGAGTTGTGATGGAAGATTTGATTAAGCAGCATTTTGGGGCTGCCATTGTTGATGAGCTCTTTGATCGCTTCGCTCAGAAAGTTCTTGAATTCCCAGATATCATGAACCCAAGGAAACTCAAAATAGTCATGCTCTTTGTTCTTCTTAAACGCAAGTCGCAAGCAGAGGGCAAAGTCTAATGAACATCTTTTGAACTGGAGTTTTCTGTTGAAGTGGCATTGATCAAAAGGAGAAAGAAAGGGACTTCCTTAGTTCAAGTTCAAGTATAGGTTCCTCACAAGGTGTTAATGAAACCAAATTACTTTAAATTAACAAAATTTGATTACAATTGATTTGATTGTGGTTTTCAATTGAGTGGGTTTATTGAACAAATTACGTTATTGATCAATAGTGAAATTTAACTGCACATAATTTATGTGATAAAGTACACAATTTTTTGATGTAAAATTTGTTATATTGCCCAAAGTTGATGTTTAGCATAAATATGATCATATTAAAAATTTATGCACTATTGTGAGCTATATATGAAACTATTTTTACAATAAAGCAAAATATAATTAAAAGATGCAAAATAAAATTTTATAACCAATAAAAAATAAGTAACTATAACAATGAAATTATAAATAACCATATATTTTTTCACTCGCTAATGCTTAGAAGATAAAAATGTAAATAATACTTCCTCCGTTTAAAAATATAAGATATTTTTAACAAAATTTCACTCTTAATAAAGTAATTATCTACTTTTAAACTAACCTTATCTTTTCATATTTACCTCTATTAAACACCCCACAATTAATAAACATAAAGTCATTATCAATAGAAAGTACTTTAAAAAAAAGATAATAATTACAACTCAAAAGATTAAAAATACTTTACATTTAAAAAAATATTTTATATTTTTAAACGGAGAGAGTAACTAATTTTATTTTATAATTTATAAGGCTAAATGAGTAGATTTTTTGAAAAAAAAAAAAAAAAAGGCTTTCTACATTCAATCAGACTCGAAACGAGAGACCCCATGAAGCGGTCCCCCTTCTGCTAAAATCAATGACACTCAATGATATATACAACGTATACAACTTCAGTTTATGTTTATTCTTAAATAGTGTCCTTTCATTGATTTCGTGTTTTAGAGCTTGATTTTGTTCTCACTTTTTGCTTTTAGAAAACTATTCTATAAACCAATTTATAAAATTTATTTTTCAAAATAAAATAAAATGAAAATCTATTGGGTTATGTTAATTTTAAAATAATCATTGAATTAAAAAACTGATTGATAATAATGGTTGTTATTAGCGGCTAATGTAATGGCTTATGATTATAATTGGTCAAGTTGAAAAACAAATGTAGTATAACTTGAAAAACAAGGAAAAAAAATTTAAAATGTTTCTATTTTTTGAAAATAGTTTTGAAAATAATTAAATCCAAAATACTTATCCAAATGATTTTTTAAATGTTTTGTTTTCAAGTGCAGAAAATAGTTTTAACCAACAAGGTTAGATTTAATAGAAGAGGCTAGTCTTTCACAACATGACAAACCAATATTTAAATATTCATTGAAAGATGAGCCCACTTGGTCCTAACCTTATCTCAAATAGGATTATTATCTCTAATAAAAATGATATGTATAAGCAATTTAGTATAGAAATATATGGTCCCATCAAATATTATGTAAAGGCAAATATAAAAATGAGATGTCATCACACTACCAAAAAACACTCCATTACTTGACAGTAATATTTTGCCATACTCAATGATTATTAATCATAAAGTAAGCAGACGCCATATATTACAAACCCTTTACTTAACAATTAATAACCAAATAACTATCAAGTATAGGCTTTTAGGCATGGCTTTTGGTGAGTTTTAAAAACTAATACTTGACGATTATTATGAAATAACCGTCAAGTATTTGTGATAAAAAAATCAAGCCTGGTAAAAATTTATGAATACTTGATAGTTATCTCATAATAACCATTAAGTATATATTTGAGAATACTTAATGGTTGAAATAACCGTTAAGTATACTTGAAGGTTATTATGAAATAAACATCAAGTATTTATAGAATTCTTATTTTAAGAGGGTTATTCAAGCAGCCCATTGCATATTTACACAAAAGCCAAATACATAACAGCTAGCCAACAACCAAACACAAATCAACCACTATTTTTATTAAAATTACTATCTAAATATATTAAAATTCATATATTATTCCAATACTTATAAGAATCTTTATTACACAATTTTTTATGTTAATGAGGACTATTAATAATGTGTTATTAGCTCAAAGTACATACATATTGTATTGAAATTGAAAATTTGATTAAGTGTCTAGATTTTACGTATTAAAAATATTTTGGTTCAAAAATGAACTTTCAAAAAAATATTAAAAAAATTGATAAAATATATTTCAAGCACAAAAGAGGAGTGGTTAAATTAAATTTTATAAATTTATTTTAGTTTAAAAGTAATTATATAAAAGTTAAACACTTTTCATTGACTTTCTCAAGTGTGTTCATTTGACTTAGTTTTGAATTTACATTTGTATTTGAATTTTGCACATCTTTGTACACCCATTGTTTGGACATTTTTAATAAATATTTCCTTCTAAATATGAATAGAATACTGCACTTTAATTAAATTTTACAATGTTACATTTTATTAAATTGAATTATATGTATTTTGTGACACAAGTGAAATGTGCACATATATATCAATTAACCAAATCTGATTATATATGGAGTGAAAGTGCTTTCATTAGAGGGAGTAGATCTAATTAACTTGTTGATGCTACATATGATTACATTGACAAGCTTTAGAATCATCTACAAACCAACAAGAACATGCCACCTTGCAAGCCTCTTCTATATGACCTGAATCTACTTGCATTTATGTTTTATTTTCTTTTATTTTAATTAAGTAAAGCTGAAGTCAAACTAAATTTGCGTGCCATTCACTTTAGATTTTCAGATCAAACACAATAACTCACTTCATCTTCACACATTCTCTCACTTGTTTTTCATTTTCTCTCTACATGGTAGCACCATTTTTTCATCATTCCTCACTCAAATCACCACAAGACACGCACCATTCTTTATATATCTCTTTCATTTTGCTCATCCTTTCCCCAAGGATCTAAGCCTCAAATCTCCATAATGTGGTTCGACCTCTTCAAGACCTTTAAGGATTTCATAGAGATAGAGATGAGTGGCTAGGCTTTTTGGTGTAATCCTAAAGAGATAAAGATGAAGAATGAATTAAGAGCTTCATGTGGCTAAGCTTTCCTTGTTTCCTATACTCTCTTCTCTTTTCACTTGATGATTAGATACTTTTGCCTAGAGTTTAATTATCATTACCATATAATTCCATTATGAATTTAAGTCTTTTGTAAAGAGAAGAGGGTTGTAACATTATTTTCTTGTTTGTCCATGGATGATTTCAGCTACTTGATGAAATATACATAATCTTGTATTTTTTTATTTAGTGAATTGCTTATGTTAGTTGATATTGCATAATCTTGTGATATTAATACTTGTCATATTGAGTAGCTTAGTATAATTTTATGATTGCTCTTATTTGGTCTAGGCCATGGCACATAAGGAGAGCAATTTAATGGCACAATTGATTAATTCTTATACCAATTAATAAAATGAACTAAGGGCTTTAGTCTAAAACTCAAGGAGTTGAGCTAATTAGGTTAATTAACTTAAGATAGTTTTATTGAATCAATGCAATTTTGGTCAAGGGGAGGTTTAATTTGGAGATATAATTTGGTTTAATTATTAAGAAGATAATGATTTCAATATTAAATAATCTCTAAGGTGCCAACTTCTTAAAAAGAAATTTTAAATTACTCATTTTAGGCCAAAGTTTAATTACTTGTTTGGTAGGAAATTAGATAATTCAACTTCAACTTTTAGGTAACTTATTCCACTAGTTAACCTCTTAGTTAAATACAAACTACTCTTTAATAAATAACCTAGGTTGACCCTTACTACATTAGGGTTAATTTTAATAACTATTTTGATTAGCTAAACGACTAGCTTCTATCGTATACCTAAACGCTAAACCATAAAAAATCCATAATCTTAGCTAATTTGCAAATGAAATTTTAAAACTAAGTGGTCTAAGATATAAAAATTGGCCAAAAAATGGATGTACACATAAACTAACTATTAGGCCTAACCACTACTATTATCTATATATTGAACACAGCTTGGGTCACCTCTTCAAGAACTTCTTCTATATGTGTAACTACATACTAAATGTAATAGATGTCTTCAAAATACTATATGCAAAGAGTCACAATAAATTCAAGTTAATAGCTAACTAACTAAAGTTAGTTAAAATTTATAATTTAAGTATAATTAAATTTAATATATACCTTATCAAGTAATGTGGGAGGGGCATGGTCATGAATCTCATCAATCAATAATCACAATAATTGCTTCGATCTAGTTAGAGTAGACACTATAAAAAAAACCAAATATTAATGAAACAGTATAATAGGCCATGGTTTTTTGATTAAAAACTTGACTAATTAAATGAATATCTTAACTGTCACCCCTTTCTCACAAGAATCCAATACCCTCGAGCACCCCACAAGCTAAATTTCAAACACCCACTAACAAGAATACCCATGGAGGTCAAAATAATCAACATTGAAATTACCCCTCATAACCATAAATCAAAATCAACAACTCACAAACTCAAAATAAGAATTAATGATCGGAAAAGCAAAAAGCAACCTTAAGGAGAAGACAAGACGCCAAAATAGAGACATGAGAACCACGATGGCAACAAATCCACCCACACAAGAACTCACATGCAAGATTGAAGTCAAAAGTCCAAAACCCATGAAGACTTGAGTGCAAGATTGTGTTTTCTGGTAGTTAGAGTGACAAAATATGGATTTCAGAGGGTCTAGGAGTGTTTTTACTTAAGTCAAGTATTGCAAAATGCAAAGCAAAAGCGGTTCTAGTGGGAATTCTAAAATACAATACTTGATGGTTATTCTGAAACAACCGTCAAGTATATCATATTTAATACTTACTTCCTCCGTTTAAAAATGTAAAATATTTTTAACCAAATCTCACCCCTCCAATAAAGTAGTTATCTACTTTCCAACTAACCCTATCTTTGCATATTTACTCCTATTAAACATCCTACAATAAATATAAATTCATTATCAATAGGGACACTTTTGAAAAAAAGACAATAATTATACCTCGAAAGACTAAAAATGTTTTATATTTTTGAACATCCAACTCCTCAAAAAGTACTTTACATGTTTTGAATGGTGGGAGTATTTGCTAATAACCGTCAGATGCATGCTTGATATATTTGCTTAGTTATCTCTAAACAAGTATCATATACTTATATTTTCTAGATAATAATAAAATTATTATTTATTTGATGCTTTTTTGTAAATAAATGACAAATATATCAAACATATATTTGACGATTATTAGTCCACAAGCATCAAAAATATATATTTTTAAAAAAAATAAAATAAAATACATATTTAATGATTAATAGTAAATAACCATTAAATATATATTTTGGCTGTAAAAAAAGAGATACATTAAAAAAAAAAAAGGAAACTAATTGATATCCTTTGTTGATTCAAGCTATCGTTATCCGTTGTATAAATGTAACCACGTTTAATTGTGGGATACCGGTCAACAATATAAGAAATATTTATATATGATTTACCAGAACAGTTAACCACATTTGATTGTGGAATATCGATCAACAATATAAGAAACATCCATATATGATTTACTGGAACAGTTTCTGGTAGAGGCATAAGGGATCACAATGATGTGTAGAGATGTGTAGGAAAATGAAACTGACCAGTGTCTTTTGTTAATCCTGGTCTCCATTGTCTTCTGCATAAATGTAATCCTATTTGATTTTAGAATGCTGATCCATAATATATATATATATATATATATGTTTTACTGGAATAGCTTTCGATAGAGGCATCAAGGATCATAATGATCAGTAGCTATAAGAAAAAACAAGAGATGCATAGAACAATGAAAATAAATGGTGTCCTTTGTTGATTCAACACACTGTTGTCCTCTACGTAAGTGTAACCATATTTGAAATGGTCTTTTACATAACTTCTAACGATCAAATATAACTTGCCACAATGCAAAGTTCACTTTCAATAATTCTTCTACTTTCCAGTGTAAAATTACCTACTTTTCCGAAGCTTAACCAGTTAGAAGGCGAATAAATATTAATATTTTTTTTTCTAAAGACTACCCTAACACGTCATCATATTTTTCATGTTGGGGCCAGCATAATGACCTTTCAAGCAAAATAAAATATAAAAAAAGACATCGACCTCTTCTTTTCAACTATAAAAAAAAATTAAAATGAGAGATGAATTTATTCCCCCACCTCTAAAAACCATTTACATCATTTGAAATGATAATGATATCACTAATATCAGGTTCTCTCAGCTAGAAGAAAAAAGAGCAAAATGGAAAGTTCAAATAATATGGATGAGTAAGATTTTGCAAGGGGAGTCTCTTCCAAGAGATTTTCAACAAAAAGATGGTTTTTATTTTTTATTTTTTCAAAAGTAACATCACCAAGATGCAGGTCTTTGTTAAATATTGGAGGAAAGGGAGAGACAAAATAGTGTTTTCATTTCCTTAACTGCAAATGAATTAAACTTATATTATACTATACCTTCTAAAGATTTGTTGACACATAGTTTCCACTCTCACCACCTTTGTGGGAATTCTTCCATATTTGATATCTGAGATAAATTAAACTACTAATGTCAGTAAACATGATAAATACGTCGGAACAGCAAATCAGCACTCAAAAATACATATAAGAGTATTAACAACAGAAACAAAAATGAATTCAACTAAACAGATGTTTTTGCCAGTAGACAGTTTCATTTATAGCCATTGTTCTTCGATTGAGAATGATCAAGGGTGCAACAAATCAATAATGGAATGATGGAAGAAGAAGATAACGCTTGAAAGGGGGAGAGAATATCAAAACATCTAAGTGGAGTCATCTCACAATGTACAATTGAGATTCTCAAAAAGTTGCTTCCAGAAAGATATATATATTGTAGTGTTACCATATTTGTCTATGACCATTAGATTTGATTTGACTAAAGAATTCCAGATCTTAAAAAAAAGTATCAACATTCAGAAGATTCAACCAGAGATCCTTCAAAAGCACATGAAGGAATAAAATTACAGAATTCAAAATTAAGCAAGAGCAGAAAAGCCATAATTTGGTTATATAACATTAGAAATAAACTACCTTCAATGTCCGAATAACTAAATCCATATATAATCACAATATGCTCAAGGAGAAATCAAATATAAACAAAAAGAAACTACCTATTAACACTGCAAAGCTAACGTCGAGAAATTCATACTCCAGAACTTGACAGAAAAGCATATTTGTATGACAAATTATAATTGCATAAAGATTGGCCGCATCATTTGATCTGCTCCCTTCAAATTTTACAAAGAAGAATGATCCCTTCCACATATTTAAAAATATGTTCAATGATACTTCGTATCTTATTAGACATATGAATAATGCAGAACCATACAAAAGCACAAACAGGTTGATCTATATAGTTATTTGATGCAATTCCAAGTATCGAGGAACCAACATAAAATATTGCATCAAAATTTGCTGAACTAACATATATCTATGCATTACCAATCTCATCTAGTAAAACCAAATAATAAATTTGTATCTAAGCAGAAGATAGATACCATAAACTGCAATTGCAACAACAAATATGAATCAATAGATTATGCTGATTCTTCTACCATAGCATGCCTAATTTAACATCAATAACCATGAATCAGTTGCAGATATTCTCTATAGCAAATGGAAAAGGAAAAAGAATTCAGGTCTTCAAAGTGCTTTATATTTCCCAAACTTTCAGATATTAAATAAAATAATTTCAGTTACAGTCAAATGTTTCAACTTTCAAGACTATATGATATCTCAAGTAAAAAGCATCGAAGTAATGAAACGGCTCATTCTTTTTTCTTATGATTGCGCAGTACAAATATGAAAACGTTGGACAACCTTCTTCCAAAACAACCGCCGAGAAATAGTGGGCAAACGCTGGGAAAGAGGGAAATAGAAAATAGCAGAGAAAGAGCAGACAAGCGGAAAAGGAAAAACAGCACCATATAACCAGCAACGATCAGTGAAAATGAAAAAGTAAAAAAAAAAAAAACAAAAAAAAAACAAAAGCACCGAGAGCAAGCAGACAGAACCTAAAAAAAAAATGAAGAGCAGATAGAACTTACGACATTCAGAAGATTCAACTAGAGATCCTTGAAAAGCATATGAAGGAATAAAATAACAGAATTCAAAATTAAGAAAAAGCAGAAAAGCAAAATTTTGGTTTAAAACGACAGAGTAAGTGAGGTGATATGGGCACAAAATTACCAAAGAAATAAGGGTAACTTCGTTCCAAAAGCACTTAAGCAAGGCCTATTAGATGTGGTTCTGTTTCATAAAAAGCATACATGTCTCTCTAGTATAAAGGAAAAGGGCAAGGCAATAACTCCATTCCCTATTCAAAACAGAATCCCAATCGAGAAAGATAAAAAAAAATAAACACGGAAATCTGGAATGTTTTAGAGAAAAAATGGAAACCATCAATAGAAGTGATCGAATTCTAAAGCAGTTCGAAGAAAGACCCGTTTGAAAAAGGAGGAAAGACACAGAAAAAGTGAAGACGAGAAACCTGGAGAGAATCAGCGATGATGAAAAAAAATCCCGCTTCACCCATTTGATTGCGCTTTCCTCTAGACCTTCAGTGACTATCATCTAACGGGTCTTTCTTGGCTCGAAGAGGGTGAGATGCCAGCTTCCGATCACCGTGTCGGCACAATCCTGAAGCCCCATGGCTACTATTGTGCTCTCCACCAGAGCTCGCTTGTCCGACCACGGCATCTTGTTCGGCAGCCTCAGACGAGCCGAGTACGATATCGGTTCTCGAACCGTCAAGGTTCCCATGAGGTTGTCGTCTTGCTTCACATGTGCCAGCGTTTCAAACCCCTTCTACTTGAAACGGAAAACACCGCCAAACAGGGGAGGAGACAAAACAATACCCTCACCAGATTTGTTCGTTGTTGGTATGCGAAATTTACTATTTGTTTTTTTTTTTTTTGTCGTTAAATGTTATGTTTGTCACCATCCTACCTACCATTGAAACTCACCTGAATCTCAAACAAGTAGTGAATCAAACCGTTCCTCAATTGTTGGAATCTCATTCAATTTTTTCTATTTTCTCTTTACCTGTTTTTCTTATTTTGTCTCTCCATTTTAGATTCAGCGTTTTTTTTTTTTTTCAGGTAATAAAACAGCGCATAATGAGTCAAGAAGGAAAATAAGGAGACGAACGGTCACACAGACAGCAACAACGAGAACGCACGTGTATATATATGGATAGATAGATAAGAGATTGAAACTCACCGCAGTGCTGAAAGAGAGCTTGGCCTTGCGGAGGACTTGTCCACAGAGGAAGGCGTTCGCGGCGAGACGGCTGAAGAGGGCGTCGACGAGAGTGGACAAGAGCCGGAGGGGCCCATGAGGGCCGTGAAGGTGCCGGGCTCGGCGTAGCTGGTGAGGCCTTCGGGGACATCCTTGGTCTCTCCTTTGCCGAGGGTGACCATGACGATGAGATCCTTCCATATCAGCCTTGCCGGCACATTCCGACGTTGGCCTTGGTCTCCCTCCGCAGCGTCTCGCCAAGAGGACTCAGCGCCGGCATCGTTGACGTCACATTATTGCCGACCGCCCTGCTGGCCTCTATCTCCACAGCACTAACTCGCACAAGTTCTCATCATCGAACATGGTGAGATCACGAGAGAATTAATCGAGCTGCTGAAAGAGAGCAAGTGAGCCGAACTGCATTGAAGAAGAAGAAGAAGAAGAAGAAGAAGAGTGGGCATCGGTGGTTAGAGGCTGAGAAAGCTAGAAGAGTATTCTGTAACGGCTGAAAAGCGTGAGTCGCTGCTTTGAGGCTGAGGCGCGAGGAGCGTATACACTACATTAAATATAGTTATGACTATGAACATGGCTTTTAAATTTTGGTCATGGCAAATAAGACTTTCAATTATACATCTTTTATGTCATGTTAATGTCGAAAAATTAGCAAAACCCCAATATGAAATATGCTAATAAAAATTTGTGTTATTTTCCACCCACAAGGCATTTTCATACCATAATATATGGTTTTGATAAAATTATAACATTTCATGATTACAAGAGAAACAATTACCACATGTTCACCTGTTTTAGATACACACAACTTAAAGTAAAAGTGAAGAAAGATGATATGATTAAAAGTTAAATGTTTTATTTAAATCTCAACTTTTTCAATGCAACTAGCTATGTTTTGTATATGGTTGCAAATAATTCAGGAGATGTATTGATCCTTCAAATCCCAAGATAGCTACCTATATTCTCCTTTTGCCCCATTTTATAATTTGTTATTTTTTTAATAAAATTATGTATATTAATGAAGCTCCAATAAATGCAATTTATACTCTTAATTTCTTCAAATAAAAATTTGAAGTTTTTTAAAAAAATACTCTTCATATGATATGACCCAAAATTTGTGAAACCATTAGACACAGAAGATAATTAAGAGTGAATGATAATTTTGGAATAACAATAATTAATTTAGTTTTTTTTTTTTGGAGACTCTAATACGCCAATTTGTATAGAGTGAAAAGAAATTAAAAAATAAATGAGTTTTCAAGTTTGAGATATAAAAATGCAACAACGTTGCCAATAGAGCTTTCGTTCAAGAAGATTCTGACCCAGCTGGATTCAAAATATATGGACTTCATTAAAGTCCCCTCAAGTTAATATGATGCAAGCTCACAATATCATATTCTCAAAGCAGAGAAAGAAAGAAAAACAAAAATGGACGGCATTGCACCCATGGATAGAGATAGTTAATATTTGGTCGATAAAAAAAATTTAAAAAAATAAAATTGAGAAATACGCTTATTTCATTTTTTTTCTGGATATAGTGACATACTTTTTATTTTCCTTTTGTAACACATTTTTTTCGTGTACCATACATTGCTTTAATTCCTTAATCCTTATTCATGGGGGGCATAGGCATGTACATAACCGTTCGCCTCCAAAGATTAAGAGATGCAATCGCTTGTTACTTCTGTCAAAAACGAGCTTTTGCTCCTTAAAACTAAGATTAGAAATAGATTAAGCTGAATTAGGCTTTGATCAAATAAACCGAAGCCTGTATAGTAAATCAAATATTTGAGTTTAACCTAAAGTCTGTATAAGACTTTTTTAACAACTTAAGCTTAAGTCTACTTAAAGTCTAATCTAGCTTGCAAGTCTATTTAAAAACCTACTTAAAAATAAGCTTTTTTAAATATGTTTGCATTTTAGTTTTAAATGTCTCAAATATATTTTAGGATTATTATAGTATGCAATATATAATCTGACTTATTGATTACAATATATAATAATTGAAAGAACTCATCAACTACAATATAATATAACAATAAAGTAACAACATTAAAATTAATATATAAGTCCAATATGATTAAAAATATAACTAGAAATAAAAAAGAATAGATTGATTAAAAATCAAATGATAAAAAACTAATATGTTTGTGAGATATATTACATATATGTATATATATATAAGCCAGCCTATTGGACTTGTAGATTATACCTTGAAAAAATAAGTTCATCCTATTTAATTAAATAAACCTAATTAAAAGCCGAAATCTAACTTGAGTTTATTTAATAAATAGAATAAGTTAAACCTAAAGTAAGCCAAGTTATAGGCCCTTACTAGAGGTTGACCTATTCCCACTCCTACTTAAAATGCTTTGAATCTATCTTCAATACTTACTAAGTGCTCATCACCAAAATAATATTAAATCTGAATTATTCAAAATAAATACAGATAGTCAACTTATAAAAATTATAAGATTAAATTAAACCACCCAAATTAAATCAATACTATTCATATTGATGATAAACATATTTATTAAAAAAATTTATAAATTCTTATTTTAATAAATATAAAATAAAAAATAAAAAAAATCAATCTAAATGGTCCAAATTTGTTTTTTTGGGTGATGATCACAGAAAAAGGACCCGTTATACCCCTGCCTCTCTATGGTAGAGTTCAAGGTATCTAATTCCCTCAAAGATGTATATTCATGGTTGCTTTATCTCTAACCTACTTTTTATACGTGAAATTCTATCCCACTTTAAAGAATGAATGTACTTCTACCAGAATACTCTTGTTTTTGGGATTTCTGAAGAAACTAATCTCCTCTCGAAACTACATACATATCACCAAACTATACATAAGTTCATACTTGTACCAATACATTTCGTAATTTCAGGATGAAGCATAACAAAAAGAACAGGAATACAACGACGGTCCCCAAAGGCCCATACAGACTCATGACGATAACGTTTTGAGATCATAGGCCAAATAACTAAGCTCCATTTATTCGTCAATCACAAAGAATACTATTTTTCAGCCCGGAGGATGCACACTATTGCTGCTTATAGTAGCCACTTTGATGAGGAGTGTATGGACCTGGAATGGTGTAAGGAGGCCGAGGAACGGAGGAAGGTTGTTGAGCATGAGCATTATAGTAAGGGCCACGCCATCCTGGATATGCCGGTTGGCCATAGTCATGGCCTGCTGGCTGCTGCTGGGGACCCTGAGAATATGGAGTAGCAGATGGGTGTGGCATGTGGTATGGAGGCGGCGGCTGACGTGCAGAACCATATGAAAGGGGTTGAGCATACCCAGCTGCTGGTGGCTGTTCGGGTGGAGGTTGATAATATCCTGTTTGGGGGCGGGAATCTGGTGGATATGATCTTTGAGGTTGGTGTCCCATCGGAGGGTAGCCGCTGTTAGAAGGACCAGTGGTTTTATCCTGGAAACTGAGACCAGCCACTTGTCTCTGGACATCTTCAATCATTTCCCTGCACTGGATGTTTCTGGTCATTATAAAGTCACTGCACTGCTGCTTTACATTTGTGATTGCATCCTATAGCAGAAAGAAAGTTCAAATTGTTACCTTGCAAACAAACATGTTTTTAATAGCACTATTCATGCACATTAATAATATGAATGATTTAAAAATAACAATGAGATTTATGATACGTCAGGGGACAACAACAACTTGATGAAATAATAAATCAAGTTACTTGATACAATTGAAAACAGCAGTATCTGAAAAATACTTACCTGCAGCGTAACATAAAATTTCAACCCTTCATTGATGTTGTCTTTTATTTCTCGATACTTCGCTATAGCAGCTTCAATCTGCTTGTAGCATTTTTCCCGTGAAGCTGAAATAGGTGAGAAAACTATGAACAAGTGACATACAAGAAGGAGGACTTGGAGGGGGAAAAAATGCATTAGCCTTTGAAGAGGAAAAGCTAAGGTCTTCCATGCTCCAAAATACAAGTTGAACGGAATGTATAATAAGAATTGAGAAATTTCTCTATCACTGGACTTAAGAACCAAAACTGACTTTGATCTTGATAGATACTGTTATCCCTGAAGGTGGCTAGCAGCAAAACTGTTAGCTCATTATATAGCATTTAGCACATGCTAATTACACTCATCCCAAATTTCTCCAAACCGCATAGTACAGATAGCATAGCAGAAGACACATTAATGACCATAATCTGAAAATAAACCAAGCCTTGTCTGTATGGTGATAACTTTTAAATGCAGATTTAATCAGACAGACAAGAGAAGTAACAGACAAGACCTACCTTTGTAATCTTCAAGATTAAATATGGCAGAGAACTCATCGTTTTGATCCTGTGGTCAATGAATAATAAACATCAGAAGTGAGTCACTAATTTTTCAACTTCCTCCAAGAGATCGCAGTTAACAGGAAATACCCGGGGGGGTCCATGCAACCCCACCCAGGCCTGGAGAGACTTCCTTTCTTCAG